AGTTTGAATGCACAGCTCCATTGTATGGAAACAGTATATTTAAAAACAAGCTTGTTTCAGAGCACAGTTAGCTAGCTTGGGAACGTAGGTCATCCAGTCAGCAGCTGGCAGTTGGGATGGAACAAGCTGATCACTTGTTCTGGTCTGATCTTCAGACCAATCCACGTAAAAGTGTTCACTTGTAAGTGGACGCCTTTGTAGTTTTTGCAGAGTATATTCTGTTGTTAGAACTGCCTTGGGTAGCCAGAGTAAATCCAACGGACCAGGGAAAGTGGGAATAAAAGCTGACAGGTTATTGGTGAGCCAGCCAGGAGGTTTGAAGATGAAGAAATAGCCAGGCTAAGTAATGGAAGAGGCGATTGAAGTTTATGTGGCAGCAAAGGTACCACTTAAGGAACATGGACAAGAGCCAAATTCCAGAGGTGAGGTAAGTGTGACAGCCCTTGATATCAAGGCCATATTTGACCGAGTATGGCATCAAGGAGCTTGGGGCAAAACTGGAATCAACAGATATCAGGGAGCAAACTCTCCGCTGGTTAGAGTCATGAGTGGCATGTAGGTAAGCGGTTATGGTTGCTGAAGGTCAGTCATCTCAGCTCTAGGACATCTCTGGAGGGGTTGTTTGCTGGTGATTGTTCATGACTCCTCAGATACTGAAGCATTCTGTGTGCAAATGCAACAAGATATGGGCAATATCCAGGTTTGGGTTGACAAGTACCTGGTCATATTTGTACCTAAAATGATAGCAATTAACTATTGCCCTTTGACATTCAATGGCATTAATCATCCACTGAATCCTATGGTGACTGACTCAACTCATGGTTTCCCAATGTCTGTCTAAGGCACAAGTCTCTTCCAAACAGCATTGTTGGTTTTCCTACAGGTTAAGGGCTGCAGCAGTTCTACAAGACAGCTCACCCCTGCCTTTACCAGGCAAATTAAGAATAGCAATAAATTTTAGTCTAGCTACACCAACATTCTATGAATAAATAAGCAAAAGCCACATTGCGAGCCTACTGATATTCTTAAAATTAGCTGGTTGTGTAATTCTTATGTAACAATTCTGATTGTGCTAAAAAAGTTATTCAATTGCAGAAATACATCGAAGACATTTTGTTTTGCAAGCATATGCTAGTGGAGTGCAATCAGTACCTTGCCTGCCATCAATATCCCAATGAGTGGTAGGTTATATCAAACAGCAGATCCTAGCAGCTGTTCACAGATACAGACTGTGTGAGTGTGAGTTTTACAATTACACAAACAAATCATAGCAGATCATCAGTCAGAGTTGCAAACCCATTTGAATTTTGGTATTCTTGCATCTGTCCTGATGAATGCAAGGTGAAAAGATTCAAGCACTTTTTTTTTTTTTTTTTAAAAAGTAATACTCAGGTACTGTATTCCCAAGCAATAACATTTAACAGTTGTGCTATCATTACCTGTAGTATTATCCTCTCTGTCCACAGTCCTATTGCCTTTAAAGTCTCTTTTTGTGGATGTGCTTGTAAAATAGCTTATTATTCAAAGTTCCTTGATAAAATTAGTTGTTCATCATCCTATCCTCATCAATGTCCATATGTACACATATACAGACACTGTCCTGGTGGAGGCTGTGCAATAAATTAGGAGTGGCAAACCTTTGCTGATCTTTTCTAGTCCAAAGCCCAGGCACACAGAGACCAGTTCTGTAGCATTTTGAAGCAACAAGAACTTTATGATCTTACTATTGACTAATTAAATATTTGCTGTTGCTTGTTGTCTAGAAACAAAGATATAAACGATGGTCCATTATGTAGTAACTGCTTTATGGACTGGAACCTGCAAACTACAGCTACCTCAGGGTCTGGTGTACTTGTTTTCTAAATCAACCTGTTCAGATGGATCTTGGCACACCTCTGCAATAGATGGGATTTGAACCTAGGCCTCCTGGCTCAGAGACAGGGACACTTCCACTGGGCCCCAAGCACCTTTGAGCTGTTTGTTGTTTTGCAAGTGTCTCCAATTTCAAAACAATCATCCTGTGTATCAAATCTTCCCAGCAATCAGCCAAGATTATGGTCAGAACCTAAATCAGCGACAGCAATGCTAAGAATCAGCCTCGAGGGCACCAGCATTCACCACTGTCTAAATCCCAGTTTAGCTCAAAACAGGCTTCTCTTTGGTGTAACTTCATTAACAAACTGCATCTTTCAGTGTTACTTACCAGCAGCAGGGCAATCACCCGACAAGCAAACTAGGGAGAAAACATAATGACAGGTTGTACCAATATATCAAAGCCTCTTAAGAGGGCAACTCTTCGAATGGATTCAGTGCATTAACAGATGAAAATACAACAGGAGGGAAAGGGAGCTTTTGTTTGGTTGAGCAGTAAGTTTGCAGGAAGATCGATAGGTAGTCGTGACTCTCAGTCCAATTGCACTATACAGCAGAAAAATAATCTCCAGGCCAGTCAACCTTCAGCCTTCAATGCCTCAGCCCCTCCAAAAGGAAGTGAGGTCATCAGCTCCTTATGATGGAGGAGTGTGACATCTTGTTCCCGAGATCTGCTGCACTTGTAGGCAGAAAAACAATGTCATTACTGTATGCCTCGAGTATCTGGGAGACCCCTACTGTCTTGTCCGGGGTTTTGGGGGGGGGTGTATTTAATGTCCAATGTCCAGTCTCTTTAGTGCTAAGAGCTCCCAATTCCTTGTGTTGCAGCTGCTAATATTTGAAATGCTGGAGTTGCCTAAGTGGAGTTCCCAGCTTTTGTGGGAAGAAATGCTCTTTGCCCAGCTTCTGCAGCAGAGGAGAAGCCAGTGCACTGTGGGACAGAGCCACACAAGCTTTCAATCACAGAACATGTAGTTGAAAGGGAGAGCATGTAGTGCAAATTGTGAACTCATGTTTCAATGCACATCAGTAGTTTCAGACAGCCTATTTTATTACTGAGACAAATTTTAAAAAAGTGCGCGCAAAAAGTGTCAACATTTTGCAAGTATGCACTGTTACAGAACACAAAAACTTACCTTGTTTTGGCCTGCTGATAGAGCAACAGCAGCAGTACAACAGAATCCATAGTGTGGAAAGAGGCCACTCAGCTGATTGAGTTTACACTGACCCTCTGAAGAGCAACCCACCCAGACCCTATCCCCATAACCCCACATTTCCCACAGAAAACCCACCTAGACTGCACATCCCTGGACACTATTGGAAATGTAGTATGGCCAATCCACCCAACCTACATACTTTTGGACTGTAGGGAGGTAACTGGTGCGCCCAGAGGAAACCCACACAGAGACTAGGAGAATGTGCAAACTCCACCCAGACAGTTGCTCAAGCTGGAATTGAACCTGGGTCTCTAGCACTGAGGCAGCTGTGCTAACCACTGAGGCACCATGCTGCCCACAGACTGCACTTACTCTGTACCTTTTATTTCACTATTTCTTAAAAGGCCCAGCAATCTGAGTCATTGAATGTATACCTTCAGAGGAGATTTGGGTGCTTGCTGAGAAATCCACAAAATCTGTGCTGTCCACATTTGTGATTTGATGTACTCTATTGGGTGTTCGATCATATTTTGTTGCTTACTGTTATTTAGTACACATTCAGAATGCTAGAGATTAACTTGTAATATATTGTTTTGCTGTTCTAACTTTGTAAAGTTTAATTTTGTTTGTTCAAAATGGTGGAATTTTGTTGTTTTATTCTCCAAGTACTGGTGATCACAAAAGAAAAAAAAAGTTTGTCTAATTTAAACAAACAAGTTACTGGCCCCTAGCTAGACTGTAACAGGAACGTAACTGATGTAAAAAGTAATTGTCTCACCAGGTATCATGACAGCACTTACACAAGTTTCACTGCATAGTTACTTTTTCAAAAAAGTAACTAAGCAACCTAACTGATGTTACAGGACACTTGGTTTGTATTCATCTTCAAACTGATGGAAAAGGGATACAAGATCAAGAAATAGAGTGTTCAATAAACTAGGTGTGCCAGAAAACTTACAGTAGATTATAATAGACTAAAAAACTGTAAACAACATCTAGTTCAAAAGTTTTTACACAAAGTTTTGAACAAAAGTAATACTATATTATGTACGGCTATCACAAAGTAACATTAAGTTTCTGCCCAACAACTGGCCAGTTGAACTGAATGGCCTTGTTTATGTCAGACTACTAAATACCAAGGGTCCATACTTAAAGTTATGCATTTTTCCAAACGCATTCATCCAGTACAACTTGCATTGTAGGTACCAACAGGCTGATCTTTCAGAGTTACATTTCTGTAAGACAGGAAATGTGGTCTTTCCAACTAAATGGTACAAAGTGACCAGGCTGAAGTTGTATACAATCAGCCTCTTGTCATTGGGGCAAAACTTGGTAGGCAACAGTGTTGCCAAAACAAAAGCTTCGTTTATCCCAGACATATGAAGCCAGGCAGGCTAATGTAACATGTTAGAATACCACCCAACACAACAATGATACTTCTGGTCCTTTCACTAAGGTCATCTTTTCCCAAGTACAAGTTGGTCACTGAACAGAGAATTAAACAGACTTTTCATAGCAAATACAAAATCAGCAATTCACTCCAGAAACTGGGAAATGATTGGCCCAAAAAAAAAGTTCTTCAATTAGAAGCACAAATTAGCATTTCCAGAAAGAACCAAGAGGTAAGCAGAAGATGTCCCTCATCCTATGAGGATTCAGTCTGGACATGAACCATTTTAGGTGCTCTGATTCTAGCCACATCCATGCCTTGTGCCATTGCCTTTAACAAAAATCAGTGGTCTAGAAAGATTTTGTTTTTTTTTTTAAAAATTAAAAGTCAGTTGTGGTGCTCTGGACAGATCACATGGCAAATGGGCTCAAAAGTGACCATCAAAACAGTGGAAAAGAAAAATTCCTCACCCCTCCAAGAAGAAAACAGATATTTGCGCAAAGAGAGAGTTCAAGAGGTTACAGGTGAAAAAGCTCAATTTCCCCTTCAGGGAATAGCACAATTAACCCTTTGGAGGACTATTCACAGCCATCAAAAATCACATTTATTTTTGAAAAAAAAAAAAGTGAAGAACATCATGAGGTTTTATACATTTCTCATTAACAGCAGTATACATAGAAATCAGTTGTGCAGCAGTTAAGTAGCACACACACACTTCTGTCCTTCATAGACCAAATCAGTATTTTAAAATGTGATCAGAGACATAGCAAACAGACAGTGCACTTGAAGCATTGTTTTATTTATCAAAGTGGCATCAATTGATTAATTGGGAAAGCTCAGCAGGTCCAGCAGCATCCGTGGAGAGAGAAATTAGAGTTAACATTTCTGTTTCAGTGATCCAACCCGAAATGTTAACTCATTTCTCTCCACAGATGCTGCCAGACCTGTTGAGCTTTGAGCAATTTCTGATTTCCAGCATCTGCAGTTCTTTCGGATTTTATTCTGATTTAAAAAAAAGGCACAAAAAAAAACATTAAAATTTCTTTTTTAAAGTAACTGTTCTGTTTTACGAGCATTTCTCCCTGCTTAACAGATATACTACAACTTTATACTCTGCTCAAAGAGAAGAGGTTTAAAATATTTCAAAGCGGCTTAGTTATCAAGATACATCCATTATTTGTCTAAACAAATAAAGGTAAATGGTTCCTTCCAACAACATGTTCTTGTTCATGCTTTCATCTGTTTACCAGATTGTGTAACCACCATCTGAGCCACCAGAAATCCAGTTGGCCTTTCTCTGGGTCATAATGACGTTGCCACTCTGCATGGCTGCAATCTGAGCAGCATTAGGAGGGCAACCAGGTGGAGGAGGCTAAATTGAAAGAGAAAAATAGAAGTTGCTTTTAAGGTTAACCAACAGAAATTGGTAAAATTGATAAAATTGAATCCGCTGTTAAAAACAGATAACCCAAATATTATCTTTCAGCTTAAATCAGCATACATTCAAGTTTCAGTTTTGCTTCTTTTCCGTCTCCAGTTTCCTCCTCTGCAGCATATTGGTACCTGGACAAGTCTCTGGTTTTCACTGAAAAATGGGAACTAAATCATTACAGTGCCTTGGGACAGGAAGCCAAATTGACCACTCAGCCAGTGCCCAGCTTTGTAAAGTACAGTCAGACTTCTGGAGGGGTCTCAACATTCCATAATGTGCACAGGGTGACAATTCAGTCAGTGTCTTTGCTAGAGTAAGCACATCATGGTGTCGTGATCAAAGTCATTTAAAAAGAGATAAATGAGATGTCAATGGGTGATATCATTTTCCAAGCCCAAGTAAAGTTGGTGGCAAACAGGATATTCAATTAAAAACGGGTCTTTATGGAGTTTGACCCTTAAAAAAAAAAAACACACACCACTACAGGCCAGTCAGTATAACCTTACCAACATAACCAGAAAGAATTCTGAGGGACAGAATATCTCTGTACATGGAGAGACGTGGATTAAATCAGGGATAGTATGCATAAAAGTTTGTTAAACGAAGGTTGTTTGACACATTTCAGAAGAGATAACCAGGAGTTTTGATGAGGGTAATACATTTAAATGTGGTCTACATGGATGGTAAATAGGAGGAGGATATTGATAGACTGGTCAGCTGAGCAGAGTAGTGGCAAATGGAATTCAACCTTGAGAGGTAATGCACTTGGAGAGCCACAAGGCAAGGAATTATACTATGAAGGTAGCACCCTGGAAATAACTGAAGATCAGAGGGACTTTGACGTACATGCCAACAGATCCTTGAAGGCAGCAGGGCAGTAAGAGAAGGTAGTTAAGAAGGCATATGGGATACTTGTATTCTATGCCTTGGCTAATAAAAGGCAAGAACAAGGAGGAGGTTATGATGGAGCTGTACAAAACACTAGTTCAGCCACAACTGGACTATGGCATACACAGTCTGATCACCACACTGTAGGAAGGATGTGATTACAGTAGAGACGG